GATTACAAGTGCGTACCTCCAGCACCCGGATACATGTGGTTTTGACCAGGTGAAGTTGAAAGAATAAATAAGCAAGTCAAAAGAAGTTTCAAAACACAAAAATTTTAAATTCTCCTATGCATATCACACGGAGATCTCAACCATCCCTGTGTTAGTGTTGTGTATAATTGTTTTATGATCTACTGAGCATTTCTGTCATTGATTGATTTTGTAAAAAAAAAAAAAAAGCCTCTCCTCAAAGCAAATGGTGTCCCCAAAAGCCAGATAAAAGTTAGGGTGCTTAATTGCAGCAATACAAAGAAAATTGTAGATTGTTGAAAGGTGTATATCTTTAGCAGAAGTTGGGTGGCATTATGGGAAAAAGTGAATTAAACGTCTATGCATCCTGATTATTCACAGCTTTTCCTCAGTTCAGGTTTCTTGGAACCATGTACCTATGGATTCCAAAGCTCTACGATACATTCACGTCTTTCTTTAAATATGTGCTTGTAGTTAATAAAATTTAGCATCCTTCTAGTTACCTTGTGTCTGTCATTCTGAGTCTGTTTCAAGTGATTGATTTTTCTTTGAGTTTTGTCTTATACTTTTTTGTTTCTTGGGATGGAGTTTTGTACTGAATGCTGAACACTGTAACCAGTCTTGGATGTTATGGTTTTCTTTTATTGTTGTTGTTTGTTCTAGTGAGTTATTAAGTTCTTTGCAGATAATGTCTGGTCTTTTCAAGGTAAGGCCTTTTGTGTTTTGTGAGGGTAGATGAAGGGTATACTTTACTCAAACAGTATTTTATCTGTGCTGCTGTGGTGTGACAATTGTGGGGGCTCCACTGAATGTCACTATGTCCACTATGTCTGGATAGAACTCAACTCTCCTGAGTCTGTGTAGATCCTACCAAACTGTTCAGCTATCCAATGTTTGTGCATTTTACCTGCCATGCAGAGTTCCAAATTAACTATATGCAACCTACAAGCCAGTAAAATCTCAAGAGGACTGATACAGAGATTTCTAAAGCTCTTCTTCTATAAAGTTTCTTCTTTCATGACTGCCTTTCTCTCCAGACTATAGTTACCATCTCCTAAACTCAGAGCTCTAGGTTTCTCCTTCCTCCATCTGTATTCTAGAAAATTCTTCTTGTCAGAATCTAGAGCATACTTTAAAATTTACCTAATTTGTTTCCCTCTCCTTAGGAATTGTTGTCTTTGGCTGCCTGTTGTCCAACAGCTAAAAATAGTTGTTGCATATAGTTTATTTCATGTTTTTTAGTTGTTTGGTTTCAGAGAGCAAGTCCATTTCTTGTTACTTCATCATGGTGAGAAGCAGAATTCTAGTCCATAACCTCTTAAATCTATAATTAAGTGCCTCTAATACTGCTAATTTACTTACCTCTTTTGTCATTAATCAACTTCACTAAAGTTATTCCTTTTATTAATATGTTCAAAGAACCTACTTTTATCCTAGTTTATTACTTTTAAGTGTATCAATACTTAGATTTCCCTGTATGCAAGCAAACTTCCTTTCCTTTATTCTCCTGTCTTATACCCTAAATAGGGATTATTTTCCTATCTATAAATATACTTATATATATTTATTCATATTTTCAAATAATATGGAAAATATTTTAGTGGTAGGCTCACTATTCTTCTTAAAATCTATGTCTGTGCAACCATGCATAGAGGCTAATGCCTGTAATCCCAGCTACTTGGGAAGGGGATTTCAGGAGGATTGTAGTTTGAGGTCAGCCCAAACAAAAAGTTAGCAAGATTTCATCTCAGTAAAGAAATTGAGCATGTAGACATGTACCTGTTGTTTCAGCTATGTAGGAGGCATAAATAGGAGATTGTAGTCCAGGTCAACCCAGGAATAAATGTGAGACCCTATCTCAAAAACAACTAAAGTGAAAGAGGCCAGTTCAAGGGATTGAACACCTGCCTATCAAGTGCAAGGCCCTGAGTTCAAACTCCAGGACCACACACAAAAATCTTCCTTTGTCTTTATTTTTGAAAGATGTTTTACTGTTTTCACTATTTTAAATGGAAAACAGCTACAGGCTAATCAGGGTTCCATTGTTCTCTGGTTTTCATTGTTTCCTTCAAGATGTCTGTTGTAAGTCTGTTCCGATATTTAGATCTTTTTTTTAATGTTGTTTAGTTTCAATATAATAGGACTAAGGTATAGATTCTTTTGGTCATTCTATTTGTTATATATTTTATTTTCTTTAATCCATTGATATCCATTAGCTGCTTTCTCTTCAAATGTTGTCTTCCTTCCATGGTTTTAATCTTCTCTTTAGATTCCTATTATTTATATATTAAACCATCCCACCCTGTCTTCCATCTATGTTACCCTCTCTTTTGTATTATCTGTTTCTTCAACTTTCAAAGCTACATTCCTAGTAATCTTTTAATATCTACCATCCATTTTACTACTTAATTTTTTGGTTCCTTTTTTCAGTTTTATTTATCCATTGGGTTTTTTAATTTTTACAGTATTTTTAATTTCTGTTTTCTTCTTTTTTGAAATTTAGTTTTTCATTTAAAATAGTCTCCTGTTAGCTCAGGCTTCTGATGTGTCATTTACTTTATTACTTTCTATATACTTCAACAATCCTAGATCTCCGCTTCTAGAGTGATTGGGATTACAGTGTGAGCTGACATACTTGGTCTCTTATTTGAATATTTTTGGCCCATGGCTGAGGCCACAGATGTGAACCTGAAGATGTGAACCTGCCTAACCTTACTGACTAAAATATTGTATAAGGTGCCTTGTTCCAGTCTTATGTGTAGGAAAATATTTTAGAATCAAGCATACAGTCTGTTATAAGCATATTAAGAAGAGAAAGATCTATTTGTACTGTATTCTTAGTTGTAGAATAAATTATGTTTGTTGAAGTTTGTGGGAGATGGAGAAAAGGTGTGGATATTAGTTACAAGGATAGAGATAGAAAGAAGCACAATTTGGGGGCCTCTCTTTGTCTCAGTATAGTGTCTAGCATTATCTAGACACTTCTTTTAGAACAAAGTTAAACGTTCTTTTAGAACAAAGTTAAAAGAAACTATCCAAGTTCCTAATTCAAAGGAGCTTGCAATTATTTGGAGAGAGAGAAAACATATAACAAAACTACAACACAGTAGCAAAAAGCAGTTGTGCTTTAAGCAGTTGTGTATTCAGTACAAATTGATGGTTGTAAAATATATACACTGTAGAAGCTGGGAGAATGAGCTCAGTGTGGGTTAAGAGAACATTTCACAAGGACCTGGTATACAATATAATTTGGTTGAGGAGAAGGACATACACAAAGAATAATGTTATCATTAACAGGAAACTTGTCCATGGACAGTGGAGTGTTTTCATAGGCAGGTAGCTAGAGATAACCCTGGAAGGAGAGTAGGACATAGATTATAGAGGACCATAACATTTCTAGGTTTAAGTTCTGAATACAGGTCATTTATTATTTGTGATTATAATCCTACAACCCTAGCCACACAGACTAGTATATAGTATATGTCCAATAAAACATCATTGGATGTATTAGTTGCTTGGATGAAGACAATTCAAAATGGTTGGACTTTATTTGGATGTCAGTGGGGCTGGCTGAAGATTGTGGAGCATGAAGATGTCATATATAGGAAAACAATTTTTTTCAAGACAATGAGCCAAATATAGTGGAGTGGATGGAGGCTGGATGCAGGGAGGACAGGTAGGCTATTCCTGTAATCATCCTTTGTGTTAGAAGGATTAATGGTGAACTGAGGATAGTGTTTTGAAACATAAATAACTGGGTTGTGATTCATCAACAAATTTCCTGTCCAAACAAGAGTGACAGGGATATTGTCAAGGTTAATAAACAATGAGCTCATTTTTACTGGTTAGTATTTGAGTTTGGTATTTTTCTGTATTATTTATCTTTGCTTTCTAGTAGTTCTTCCCTATAAAATCATTTGAGTTTTCTTCAAGGACTCAGCTATCCATCAATTATTTTTCCTAGAAGAGTTATGTCCACTAGTTCTTTGAATATTTCTGAATTGTTTGATCTACTACTATACAGGGGAGATTTGGGAAGTCCCTGCATGGAAACTACCTACAGGATTTGGTGTGAGACATAGGAAGAGAGCACAGAGAAGGGTTGAGTAGGGAAGCCCATCTATCAGTTTAGAACCCTGGGTCAGGTGCTTTCTGTGATGGTGCTTACTAGCATGGAACTCTTGATAAACCTCCAGGCCAGTGGGAGATTTGTCTTGTCTTTTCTCATTTTCACGCTGCTTAGAAAGGGTGGATTTGTTCAGCGTTCACCTTCTGTTTCAGTCCAGCCCAGCCCTGACATGGAAAGAGCCGATGTGACAGATGCAATATATCCGTAGACCCAACACTGGGCGCTTGGTGGATGGTCCCCGACCTCCTGGTTCTAGGGCCGGCCCCATCCTACCCTACCATCAGCATTCCCGGACGCAGACAGGCACTCAGGGGCCGCATTGGTTTCCATGTGTGGGCTGCCAAAGCGTTGTTTCTGCGTATGATCAAGTCTCCCCTAGGAGACTGTGCTCTAACCTTCCGGACCAGGACAGTGCTTATGGGGAGAAACAGAACAGCTCTCTACTTGCATTTCCCCCCTACCCCCCCCCCCCAACCCCCGCCCCGTACCAAGGCAGGAAGCTGGAAAGCCATTAAGAGTCATTCATCATCATCATCACCACCATCATCACCACATTCAGCAAGAATTCAAAAAAATCAGGTCCTGCGAGGGGGAAGATGCAGACCCACCTTGCTCAGGGACAAAGCTGGGCCTGGCGCGTCCGTCCCCACCGAGGCTGGACGCGGGTGGGCCGGGAGGCGGGGCGGGGACCGGGCCCCGGGGGTGGGGGGAGAGGGGGAGGATGGAGGACCGGGAAGGGCCCCGCCCCGCGGGCCACTAGCTGACAGCGCGGCCGCGCCCCAGGTCCCGCCTCCGGCCGAGCGGCGCCCCGCGGACCGCGGTGGGCAGGTGTCCTGGGGCGGGCGGGCCCTGGGCGGGGCTGGCGCCCGTGCGCGCGGCCGTGCGCTTCGGGGGATCCTCCGGTCTCCGCGCCCGGCGGGGTTCTCCGCTCCTTCCTGCGTCGGCTCCCTTCCACCCCCCGCTGCCTGAGCCATGTCCACGAGAGGTGAGTGGGGGACTCCGGGCCGGGCCTGGAGCGGCGCGGGCCGGGCAGGTGGGGCCGGGCGAGGGGCTGTCCCTGCTGGCCCCAAGCCGTCCTGAAACTTTGGCAGCCGGTCCTTGGGCGCTGAGCGGCTCGCCCTTGACCTTGGCCCTCGGACGTGGGCACCGCTGGAGGGCCAAGGTCAGTGCCCAGCCCACCTGTGCCCGCGGCGGGCCGGGCCGGGAGGGCGTGGGGGCCGAGCTCGCCGCGGTCGGTGCTGCGGAAAGGCTGGCGCGGAGGGAGGGAAAGGTATTTTCTCCCCCTCTCCTCCTTATTACCGTTTTGCAGCTCCGATATGGACGAAATCCAAGGGCTTGATGCAGCAAGATTTAAAGCCGCAGTGCTTACACTCCATTTGTCTTATTTATTTTTTTTTTAAGTAAGTTCCTTCCCTCGATTCCCCTTTGCATTATTCCCCCAGCTCCTCTCCCCACCCGTTTTGTTCTGGGAGTAAAACCATTAACAGCAGGTGAAATGGGAGGAAGGGTAGAGAAGAAACCCACAAAAACCCGAACTGCTTTTCAGGCAGGAGTTGAAGGGAATGCATTTCTTGCCATCTGGAGCCAGCGAGGGATGCTGGGGAGAGTGCGTTAGTCAGAGCTCGATGGCTGTTACTATGAGTGAAATATGAAAGAGATCGAGCCGTGATGCAGCGCGCAAGCCATTAAAAGGAAGCGATTCCGTTGCCTTGCCTTAAGCACTTAACGAACATATTGATTATCTTTAGAAAGTGTGTTTGCCAAGCAATAAGTACCTCTCCCTTCCATACCTTGAAAGCAACTTGTCACAAGAGTTTGTAGAGATTCGTGTGTGTGTGTGTGTGTGTGTGTGTGTTTAACTTGGAAGTTTTAACCTTGTTAAGTGGGAAATGGAGTTTGATAATATGTGTGGGATAATTAAGTATTACTTTCCAGGAGTCAGATTGGAGATTATAGTGAATAATCTCTATGCAGAATGTTTTCAATCCTTTTGAAAGAATCCGAACCTAGTTATTTGGTGATTGTTCTAGCAATGTGGTTGATTGGCTTTATACCTGGAAATAGGGAAGTAAATTCTGGGAGAAGGGACAGAATTTACATTGTAGATGTGAGACTATGGAGGTGACTTCAAGCCCTCAGATAAGACCTATTAATCTTGTCTCCATTTTGCCTACATTAGAGAAAGAAGGAAAGAGGAAGGAAGGAAGAGGAAGGAAGGAACGAAGGAAGGAATGAAGGAAGGAGGGAGGGAAAGAGGAAGAGAAGAAAGGAGGGAAGGAAGGAAGGAGGGAGGGATGGAGGGAGGGAGGGAAGGAAGGAAAAGAGAGAGGAGAAAAGAAAGGGAGGAAGGCAAGGAAGGCTAGGTCGAGCTAGATGTGGTTATATGGATTTGATGTGTATGAATGGCATCTTCTGAGTGTTCAGGGGTTCCAAAGAAAAGATTTCAGAACTATGTTTTAAGACTAAAGCTCTCAGTCCTGACCTCTGACCTAAGAAGCACAGTGGCATGTGGAGAATATCTATCACAAATGGTCAAACTCTCGTGTCAGAATCCACTTGTGATTCAGTGTTATATACTACTAACCCTCCTTTAGTACAAACCTGTGTACAGTGTAGGAGCCAAGTCATGCTTGAGAACCTTGCTATGTCTTAGGAAAGATTTGACAGTCCCTTGCCAATTTCACAGTCATCTCTGGGGTTTATCTGGGGTGTGAAATGCAATAATCCAAAGAATCTGAGGGGCCATATAGACCCTAGTTTGAAGCTTTCTCACATATTTTTTGTTAAACTTTATTTCAAGTAGGATGAATTTCCTGTTTCCCACTCAAAGCCATATTGTTCATCTTGGATTTAGCAGTTAAAATCTTGCAGGGTGGAAGGGCAAAAGCATATTAGCAAATTGTAGTTATTGTATGCTTATTCTGTAATAGATACTTTATCACTTAGCCTCACAGTAACTGAAGAAAGTGCACATTATCATTACTTCCCCGTTTTGAAGATGAATGAATTGAAGTTTTCAGAATCATGATAAATGGCCAGTCCTGATTCTAGCCTACCCAGGTCTCTAAGATTCTGATAGACCCTGTAATACAACCTCTATTACTAGCCCTTTGTTTGTTACACTAGAGATCACAATCATTGGTTTTTCTAAAGGGAGAGTAAGAAAACGGCTTATACATGGGATTGGAAAAAAATGACTTTGGTTAACTTGGAAGTTACAGTACATTTGGCAACATCTTCAAGGGCCTTCGTGATGAGAAGTGAAGAACCCAAGCCCATGAAATTTGATGTTAGTAATATGACACACTGGTTCAGTTCTGAAAACTGGAACTGTCTAGATGTTAACAAAGACTGAAGATTTTTCTTCTGTACAGGCCCACTGGGCCTGATTGAACTAAATCTTCCAGTACAGGGCCTGAGTCCTCCAGCAAGTTTTGAAAAAGGAACTTTAAAGTTATAGAAGTCATACATTAAAATCTACTATCAACACAACAGAACTATATTAGCACATCAGTGGAAATATTTAAATTATAAAGTAGTATGTTTAAAATTCAAGGACGATAGAAGTGTATGAAGTTAAAAATGAAAATTTGCTACTTTTACTCCCCTATTAATTTGTCAGAAGAAAGCACAGAAGTGTATCCTGTTGATCCTCTAAGATAGTATGTATCTGGTTAACATTTGTTCAGTAATGTAAAATACCTGTTTCATGCAAGTCATTCCAGGAATGTACTGGCTCCTCAGAAGCTTGAGTCTTAGGAGAAAATGTCCAGTCATGTGCACATGGATTCCACTGGATGGTCAGAGGGGTAACTCAAAGCATGCATGCTCTAGAGATGTTAGATCATTCTTGCTCTCTGTTTTCAGAACTTCCACAAAACTGGAACCAACTTAAATGTCCATAGGGAAATAAATGACTAAATTATAATGCAGATACACTTAGGACTACTGGATAGAATGAGTTGGATCTGTATCATTGGTATGAGGAGGTGGCCACAGTGTATTGTTAAGTGAATAGAGTGACTTTTAGTATATAGTGTATTTAATATGTTATCTTAGTTTTAGGAATTGTGAAAAATCTCTATGTGTACACATATGAGTGCATGACACGAGCCTGGATAAAAGTTATAAAGCAGTCTACACCAAGATCTTTAAAAAAAAGCAGTTTCTTCAAAGGCAAAGAATGGGTAGGGAAGACGGTTGGCTTTTATTTTCATGGATTCTATTTTTTGGTAGCAAGTAGTCATTGCTGTAATTGATTGAGCTAAATACTCAACAAAGAAAAATATACCCACTTCACCTCCACTCATTCATTTCAATCTGGAATATATATTCACATTCATTTATTTCATGAACATTTACTGATCATCTATTATGCACTAGCAGTTGTTTAATAATAGTGTACCTTCAAGGAGCTCACAGTCTTAGAGACAAATATACAAATGTTAGAAAAGGATTTGCCACATACAGATGGCGAATATACAATTGTCATACTAAGGAATGACACCTAATAAAGCCATGGACCATCACATCAGTTGAGGCTTCTTAAAGAAAGCAGAATTGTCTTGGAGAATGAGTTGGATTTAGGTAGATGAGACGGGATGGCTAGAGGGAAAGGCTTTTCAGGGAGAGGGACATGAAGAAGAACCCATCTCATGAGTGGTGAGTAGCTTGTTTGTAGGGCAGGAGAACCAGATTTCAGGAGAGTCAGAGGCTGGAGAAGGCAATAAAAGACAGAGAGAGATTCCATTGATAAGGGATTATGGTGAGTGAGGGGCAGCAGGAAGGAAAGATGAGAGAGGACTGCAGAGATGTCTTCCCTTCTCATCCCTCACCACTGGCCCTGCATGTCCTAACTGAGACTTGAGGAGAGTCCACTGTAATCCAAGCTGAGAGTACAGGGCAGTGGTAGGCTGGAGGCAGAAGCCCTCTGCTGGACAGTGTAGGAGGCTCAGGGGTGGACTTGATGCAGATTACAGCAATCAGAGCTAACTGATTTCTTGAGCTACTTCCCTGCATAGAGTTGAATTGGATAAACATGGTTTTTCTGGTAGTTGGATGGGAGGATCCTGCTCTGTCTCATCTTTCTTCATGTCTGCCTCTGCATGCCCCTTGGAAGACAATGTTCATTATCCCAGCTTCAATCAGTTTCTCTTAGGATGATATTATAAAAATTACTTCACTGATATCTCATTTAAGCTAAGATGTGAGGGCCATTTTTCTGGCCTGTGCCAGCTACAGTGTTTCATATCTTTGAGTTACAGAACTCTCAAGCAGTTCATCAGATTGAAGAAAGGAGAAAATAAATGCGCTATCGTTAGTTTTGTTCTTTTAAGGGAATATTTAAACAGCAATACACGACATTTCCTGGAAATCCTTTTTTTTTTTTTGCATTTAAAATAACTGAGTTCTAATTCGGTATGTAAATTGTTTTTGCTGAGAGGAACAATTTTGGACATGAGTATATCCCATGTGGGAATATCATATGTTTCAACAAACGTTTCAGAAAGTAAAATCATTTCCACATTATATCTGCAAGCAGCATTATATTTTGTGTGTGTCAGTGCTAGGGCTTTAACTCAAGGCTTGGGCCCTGTCCCTCAGCTTTTTTGCTCAAGGCCATACCTCCACTTTTGGCTTTTTGACTGTTAATTAGAGATAAGAATCACATGGACTTTCCTGCCCAGTCTGGCTTCCAACCGTGAACCTCAGATCTCAGCCTCCTGAGCTAAGATCACAGGAGGGAGCCACCAGCACCAAGCTTAGCATTATACTTTTAATATTTTGAATTACATTTTATTTGTGGCTTCTATTCTCTGGTTAATCTCACGTTTTCAATATTCTTGAGTAGAGAAAGGAAACAAAAAGCACAGGTTAAAATAGTCATATCTATACATGTCTGTTCACCCATCTAACAATCATTTTCTCCATTCTTGAAATATCTTTTGAACCTTCTTAGAGTTCACAATAAAACACATTTGAGGG